TAAAAAACTAATGCGTTTTGTTTACTTGTTTCTATTAAGCGCTAAACACATATTTCACTGGAAATAATTTAATATTCAGGTGCGCAACTAAAACTTGGCCCTGGTGGATTAGAAACCTAGTGAATAACACTCAGTTTTTGGCTCTGAGTCCTAATCGCGTTGACAAAGTTTGTGTTTTAGAATTCATTTGAAGCCATGAAATATTACCAGAAACATGCTACAATTCTAAGCAATATCTATAATTCCATCTGTCATCTCATATACTGCTGTCTAATAGGACATAAAATGGAAAATTACCAGTAATTACCAACCGTAATAAAATGGTTCAATTACATTCTCATCTCACAGAATGCTTCTATTTCCTACTTTTTGGACGTGTTACAATATCTCAGGATTTTTACTGGTTTCCACTAAGGTTTTATCTTCTTGAATTTATTCGTTCTACGCTCTGACATCAACTGACAGTTTTACTGATAAATCTAGTAAGGCTTACTTGCACATTCTGACAAATCTGCGGGTACAGATATCACATTTGTCGGCTGCCTACATTCTACCTCCTACTTGAGGTTTTAAAAGTAGGACAGCTGCATAACCTAGTTAAATAACTACTTTATTGTAAAACACTTAAGTTTTACCTCTGCACTCACAATGTAAGTGTGAAATAGATTTGTTACTCACATCATACTGATCCACAACGACATAATATATCTCCAGTTAAGATTTTATCGTGCATTCACAAACTGAGTTCAGGTCAACAATGAGTATGCATCTAGGTGAAGTGGAATCTGTAGGATGTTTACCTGAAAGATAATTCATGGGAAGAAAAATATGAAGAAACACTAACACTTTTGGCCCAGTTGGACATAAGTTCACGTGTTCAAGTGTCTATTAGGAAACATCTATGAAGACATTTCCATGTGGTCTGAATAATCGATTTAAGCATATTGGTAATTCACCTATTTCTTTCAACTAATAAAGAACTAGAACACATTAATTCGCAACGGACTATACCGTGTTTGTATACAGTAAATGAACTGAAATTATTTTGCATTCCTCAAAGTCTTTTTTTGGCGGTTTAGTGCAACAATTAAATTAATACTTCGACTTCATGACCTTATTAAAAATGGTTTGCAGAGTGATTTCCTTCCTGTCAACAAAATATATCACTTTTGAAATTATAAACTTTTGAGCAGAAAGGCAATGTGGTTAACAAATTTTAATAAAATACACGCAGTTGAGTTAAGTACTTTTAATATTTAAAAAGTTATGCAAAATAATTCGAATAAAAAGGAGTAATTTAGGCGGATATCACACATAAGATGGTCGCATGAAAGACTCTTGGATGTGTTATGAAAACAAAATGAAATGTTACTCAACGACCACTTGCATTCAAATGCACTTAGGAACACCTACTGAATGAGGACTAATTGTGTTACGTATTTGAATAAATGTCGGTAGATTAGGTCAAGTTTAAACTTATATCCCCGCATTTGGGGTATAAGCTCTTAAACCAATCAGCTACAGCTATTTTATATTTGATTGCGCCACTAAAGTATATAGTATAGCTTAACAATATATAGAGTGCTATAAGAATACCTAATGGAAAGAACAGGACTTACTTACACACAATGGAGATGACAATTAGAAGCATGCTAATAGTGTTTAGCATTTAATATGTACGTTAATAGCAGTATATATAGCACCATGCAGGTAATATTTAATGAGTACTATCACTTCTCAGCCACTCACTGAGATTAGAATATTTTTATCGACTCGTTTTATTTAGGCATTCCATGCCACTTTTCATCAGTTTTCAAGATGAACTATTATGTTGGTTCACAGACATCAGCGTAACATGAATGACATTTTCGTGAATTAAACACCTGTAAGTGACTTCATATTTTGCTATCACTACACCTGCACCACTAAAAAATCAATGACATAAGTATGCCTTGAAAAACAGTTCATCACTAGAGATCACTTTTTATTCATGCAAAACATGCTTTGCTTGAATTTAAAAAAGTTTGAGGTTAGCCAACAACAAAATTAAAATCCGTCAGTTCCCACATATTTAAACATATAAACAATGCGCTTTTTGCAATATAACTTGTACATTTCAAAATATTGAAGCACAAGATTTACTAATTTATTTATTTTATTCATTTGAGTCCTGAATAGAACACAGGGCTTCAAGCTGAAGCTTTGAATTTTTAGTGGCAGTGGTTTTAATTTTACTGGCTGGCTTTGGTAGCATCGCACCTAACATTCCCTTTCTATCGAGCTTACTAGTGGCTTAGCGAGATTTAGGAGTACGTCGACCAGTAATCGACTGGCGTAGTTGGCTAGTATTCCACCAATGAACCGTTGACGCACGCATTATAAAATAGCTAAGATTTAGTGAGACTGAAAAAATGGGCCAAACAAGCAACCCTAGATAAAGATGGTTAATAATTCACTTTTAAAATTCGGATTGCGATAAAACTAATATTTTATGGAATATCTAAATTTTAATAGAAGCACATTCATATTACATCACTTTGGCACGGCAAATTAATCATAAAAGAATCTCAGCTGTTTTAGAACTTGATAAAAACAAGATGTTTCAATGGAAAATAGTTGAAATAACTCTAATCTGAAACCACTTTTTATCCGCAGACATATTTGAGTGCAGAGATTTCAACATTATTTTACATAGATTTCAATCAAAAAACCATGATTCAGAAAGTGGATGGAAAGATTCCATTTTGCTTGATGACTGCATGTGTCATTCAATGACTTTAACTTTGGTTCATCCTGATTCATTTATATTTGTCTAAATTTTTTTCCTTCACGTTCCCCAGTGGATTATAGGGCTTCAAGCTAGTGGCTTGAAGTTTCTGTAGCAGTGTTTATTTTACAGGATGGGGTTGCTAGCCTCATGCCCAACCTTTCCTCTTCACCAGCATTATTTCTGGCTAAGCGAGGTAAAGGAGTGCGTCGGCCGGCGATCGAACCCCGGACCATGTGCATGGTCGGCGAGCATCCTAACCGCTATGCCACCGACGCACATTTGTCTGAATACTTTTGGTAAATATCTGTAAGTAGAGATTGAGCAGAATTATTTGAAGATTCCTTCACCGATGCACAGAGCCACAGCCGAAAATTTGAAATTTATCATATCTCTTAATAAAAAAGAAACACCAGACTGTTAATATTCTAACGGTGAAACAGGATCCTGATGATTCGAAAATTTACCAAGTTTCTGTTTTTATTTATACAAGTAATATAATCCTAAGCTTATGGTGAATCCACTGCTGTTATTGTTACCAGTGAATGATTCATTTCCAGGCGAAATTTATTGTTTGAAATTATGATGATTAGGCAATTACAAGTCACTTAATATTAAATTACATTTAATATAAATGTTTTCTTTAGGAAAACTGCTTTGATTACCCATGAGTCATTTCCTATTTAGCATAGGATGAATCATTGAATAAAATGATTAACGAACTGAAAGACTAACTAATTTACTTCGTTATTTGATATTTAATGTTTGTGTAAATTTTATGATCACAAAGAGGACAAAGTTTTTCTGCATTTAAAAATTAAAATCATTTTTGCTAGTCTTCTTTTGTGAAACACAAAACCAGTTTTGAAATTTATTTTAGAGTCTGTTTATTCCGAAAACGTATGTTGGAAAATAACGGTTAAATGATGCACATTTTATTATTACACTTTCGTAAAACAATCGATATTTGTTTTTCACTCGAAATGAAAGCATTCACCGGCTTCAAATCTATCCCCTTGAAAACAATACCTTTTACAACAATTACAGTCATTGTTAACAATTAGTTGGAATCTTCTTCTAGTGAGTGTATTTTGTAAAAGAAGTGGATAAATTATGGTATATGGTGCTGTGAAGACAGTTATTTTCACCTTTTGTGGCAAAGAGATTTTAAAATAGATGCGTGTGGGTTGTGAATTGGAAATTATGTTTGAGGGATGAGCAGCACTGCATGGAGAAGCTACAGGCCATTTAACAGACATATTTATTATTTTATTCCTCTACGTTCCGAGTAAACCATAGGGCTTCAAACTGGAGTTCTGAAGTGTCGGTAGAGGTTGTTTCATTTTAATGAGTTGGAGTTGCTAGCCTAACGCCCAAGCTTCCCTCTTTACCGGTTTAACCAGATTTAGGAGTGCATCGACCAGAGATCGAACTCCGGACCACATGTGTGGTTGGCGTGCATTCTATCTCTAAACAACTGACTTTAAAAGACGCACAAGAAATTTAATCTTCGCAATGAGAAAACCTGTTCTGAAAATTTCCTTTTGTCTAAATGCGTATTTCAGCCTTCAGAACAAGGAATTCCCAGTGCATATTTATGCATTTTTTGATGTTGTCTTTACGTTTCCATTGAAATAAATGGAATCAGTATTCTTAATAATGGTATTAGAATGATTTATGGAGTTTTCTGCTAGGAAAAGACATAATACCATTGAATTTATTCGTACTTGTACTTACATCGGGGCAAACAAGTAATAAGGCTCAAGTCAAAGGTTTATAATTCTAAGGAGTTTGAAGAAAGCCGCTCACCTGAAAGGTTTTCAAGAGCTTGATCGACTTCCTTGTAGACTCCTACTCAAAATGGCGTGTACTGATACAGTTGTGGCTAATAATCACCTTTTAATACTATTCTTAGACAAATCTAACTAAAAACTGTTAAGTCTGCTCAGCCCGTGGACTAAAATACAGCTGACTGGAAAGTCACCTAGTCATAATGAGTGTCGTATAAGTGTTATTTTTTCCTTTTCTTTGGGTGAGTACTGTTCAAAATATTGAAGAACAAACCTTATAAGACAGCCAGTTGGATTCCTGTGACAGGTGCTTTTTCTTCAGTCAAACTTTTTGAAAGTTGGCAACCGTTGTGCTATCCTAAAAATAAGGGTATTTTGCAAAATGCTTGTGTGAAGTGCAAACTACGTCTTGCAATAATTCAAATGTAAAAATGAATCCTTACTTTGACTCCCCATGCATCAGTTGTTGCGTCTAGACTCGACTGCATTGCTGCTGATATTTCTTCTCTATCCATGAGAATTTGTGCCAAATCTTTGGTTCCTAAAACATTACGTATAGTTGTTTGTGCTAGTAATCTAGTAGATCGCGCAGCATCTTCAATATTCAATACGGATGCCACTGGATTCAATACACGATAGTAAACAACTGCATCAACAGAAACTGTGACAGAATCACGTGTCAATAATTCTTGAGGTGGTATTGCAAACGTTACTGTACGTAAATCCACTTTCCGCACGCTGTCAATGCAAGGTAGAATAAAAAATAATCCAGGACCTTTAGTGCCTTTACCCTTAGGTATTAAGTTGCCCATACGCAGAACAACAGCACGTTCGTATTCTGCAACAATACGGATACAGTAGACAAGTGAAAATGGAAATGTGATTACAATAAGAAAAATACTTAGTGCTGCCAGAAAATTTGTTGTCCAACGCATACTGTTCTCCTCTGTTTTGTCTATATCTTCTGAATCAACTAATGTTTCATTATTCGTCTCAGATGTTTGTGACTCTTTACCTCTTTTTTTCTCGTCGGTTGTCATCATCATGTCCACTTCATTTTCATACAATGAATTTAAATGATTACCATTATGAATACGATTTGACATAGGGCCAGTTTTTTTCTTCGTCATATCTTCTTGTTTCCTTTGCGATTTATTGACGCGTATTTTTCGCGTTATGTAATCCAAACAGTGACATGAATGATATTTAAAGAAACTTCGAGAATGCTTTTTCTGCCATAAATTTTCGTTAAAGTCTGGAACATGTAGAGTTAATACATCATCATAATTTAAATCACGTTCATTGGTTGTCTGACTCGATTCTTGTTGATATGACTCTGATGATGTAGTTTTATTGAGATTTTCAAGTGTAGATGGACTTAAATCAGTCTCGTATTGCCTGTATGCAGCGTCCCCCTGTGTGTCTGAATCTGATGGTTCTTTGTACAACGGTGTATGACAAGAGGTATTGCCTGTTGAAGACATAAATCACCAGAAAGTTTCCTCAGTTCACTACTTCTGAAGGCTACTCAAATGATGAAATCTTGTTTTGTTTATTATTATTATTATCGAAAACAGTAGCATAGCTGTTCCATAGCATCCACCACTGGACAGTAATATCACCTTTTGTTAATCAACAAACGTTATTTCATTTAAATAAAAAAGGCAGTATTCTGTGTCATCTGAATTATTAAAATTTGATAATTCTGAGAATAATGAAAATTAACGTTCATCTATGCATATATATATATATACAAGCATACACTAATTATAGTCAAATATATACACTAAAAGATGTGATAGGATGAAAAACCACCTTTTCCCCAGGATTTGTTAGCCGATTAGCAAATTTATTTCTGTCAGTCTATCCCATACTAATCTCATTGGTTGATTTCATGGTCAACAAAATAAGGGTTGACTATGCGCTCGTGTAATTCATACTTTAATAATGATGATGGCTTTGATAATTTTGTCAGCTTATCACTAATGAAGAGAATCAAGCTTTCGAAATCAACAGAACACCAATGGATGAAAATCAATAAGTTCATTCTTTCACCTTTTAATATTTCGGTTTGTATGTTTATTTTCTGTGAGCATAGATCCCATTGATTAACAAATATTGCCAGTCAGTTATATTTTACAAAGTAGGAATGATAAAAAGAATATCTCACTGAAATCTAGGACAGTAGCAATTTGAAAAAAAATATATTTAGAAAAAATTTAATTTTGCTTTGCAATGACTATGAACAGTGTAAATGCACCTTGAAAAATATTTCCACTACACGAATCCAAGAAACATATCGAACTTGAAGAAAACAACTGCTGGTTAGGCAAATGGCTGGTATTTATTTTAAACTTAAAAGCTATGGACGGAATTTTTTAAACAGCAAGTATGAAATTTATATTCCTGTTTAGACAACTTGGGCCTATTACCTTTCAATCGACTTTGATATAAACGCACTGTATCATGCTGGTAAACGAGGCAAATTTCTACATACAACCAGTTCATATGGCCTTCTTTTAGGTGGAATTTTCCTTCCCCAGAAGAGATGAGAACTTTATGTAGACCTGGCATTGCAGTTTACTCAAGATCTGAAGTCTCTCACTGATCACTTTGTAGTGCTGAAGTGGCCGCTTTTTTTTGTCTTTCTGTCATCGCTATGTGATCATTTGGATACTGTTTTGAATTTTACTTTCGTTACATGTGTAATTATGACTAACATCCATTGACTGTAGAATCTTAGCTTTCCATCAATATATCTGAGCAGCCCAGTGACTTTAGGAGGCCTACGAAATTTTAAATTAATAGGAATGTATTTATTACCATTCAAAGGAATGTAAGCCTTGTAATTTAACTGTGTTATACAGGACAGAGTGTAAAAATTCGGCTTTATTACTGGTTACCAGATGAACAGAAGTGAATTAAAACCCAAAATGTGACTTGCAGAACATGACTGAATTTACATACTTTATTCCATATTAGATACGTTTTTTACATAATACCCAGTGATACAGTATTATTAACTGGATGACACCTTGAACACAATTTACGGCCCACGTCATAAAGTAAATTTAAATATAAAAGGGATTTTCTATAGTTTTTGGTTTGTAAGGATTAGTTATGTTTTACGAGTTACTCGCAGACTGATGTCAGTTAGAGAACCATTGAAAACCAGGGAGTACTGGACAGCTGCTGTTTCATCCTAGTTTGGGAATCATCGGCAGTACGCACCCACTGGGATTCGAACCCAGGACCTTCCGGTTACAAGGCAAGCTCGTATACCATTCAGCCACTGGGACCCGATTCAATGGCTCATGAATTCTAACTTCTACCAATTCGTGATTTTAGCGCCACCCCAACCATTGTCGTTGGTGGGAAATCCATCCACACACGTGACATCTAATTGGACCTCACTGGTCACGAATTCTCACTAGAACTGCAGGAAGCTCCAACCTGTAGCAAGTCACTAGTGAGCAACCAAAAACTATAGAAAATTCATCTGATGCTCTGTAACCTGCATATTTATGTAACAACCCCCTTCTCAGACGTGAGGCTAGCAACTCATAAGGAAAACTGCTACAGAAACTTCAGTACGATGAGTCTCCTTGTGACAGAAGAAAAAGTCTGTATGAGGACATGGAACGTCCGCACTATGTACTAGAGTGGAAATGCTGCCCAGATTTCAAATGAGATGAAAAGACATGTCTAACCTGCACTGTATTCAAATTTCAAAATAAAGTATACAAACAAACAAAATAAAGTGGCAGTGGAATCACCAACACCTTGATAGTAGCACAAGTATTTAGGGATAGCTCGGAACACAAAGCTCTTAGAACATTTGATCCTGCTTTTACGCTATGGTGCAGATATGTAGACGACACATTCACTGTGTTGAAGTTTATACATATCTCTAAGTTCTTCACACGCAAAAAAATCAGTAGTAGATGATTTTGCCACATACAACTTTCAACTTAAAACAAAATGCTGGGTTACATACAAGTATCTATAGGAAACCAACACATTCAATATGTCCTTTGACTTTCATTTATACTATTATTAGCAACAGTTTATGCTAGAAACCGTATCCATCTAAAAATACTGTATCACTGTGTGTCACATTAAATAAACTTAACTAATATGGAGTTATATTCTACCTCAGTACCAAATTGTATCCTTAAAATAAGTACATTATTTGTACCTTAATCTGAAGTCTTATACTATATTGTTTGGAACTAATGAGTTGTAAGAAAAAGCATCCTCCAGATTATGCTTGTCCTTTACGGTAATTAGTTAAGTTTCATAAGCATTATGTGGGATGTTCTAAATTAGTATTCCATGATAGTGTCACATGAACCTCATGTAAAATCTAAATTTGTAACATTTATAAATTCAAAATATTTATGAAGACATGTATACATCAAAACCAACTATATCAACTCCCTGTTTTTCTGATATTCTCTATGACTTCCAACACGAACTTTAGAAAGTAAATCTACTACTCAGACAATCATGGTGAAATCCAAAACTATGAGCTAGTCCACCGGTATCAGATTTATGGGTTTTAGTGGGAGTCTATGTATATCGTATGAAAAATCATAATGAAAATGTCGTGCTGTTTTTATCTCGAATGAAGAAATACACAATACTTCACTGGTAGATAATCAGAATAAATGAAAAATTCTATGATGCTTTCCAATCTACATTTTGGAAATTTATTCTGAATACTATTTTCTGATAATTATCTATTTATCGGTATTAGGTTACATGTTGTTTTCCAAAGTATTAAGAGCATTAAAACTATTTCTTAAGGCAAAATATATTTTCTCTTGCGTGTTTTTATTCTATTCAATCGAACAAACTGCATTATTTGCTGATGCATGTGGTTAATTAACAAACATTAGGGTAAGACAAGATTTCTTAATGTCTAAAAAACCATTGAATTTCATATGAAAGTTAGATATTACCTATCGCTGGAGTAGAGAAATATTTTCAAAAACTTGAAGAAAAGAGCAGATAAAATCGACTGAAAAGAGCCAATAAAATTAGTGGAATTAACATACAAAAGAAACCTCGCCCAGGTTAATATCTCGACAGATTTCTAGCCGGACAGAAGAACGTCAAAATGGACAGCATTGAGCCTCCTACTCCTTAATTGGACTATTAATTTAAAATCATGTGATTATTTCAGTAGAATCTGGAAGCATATATAAAATTCTGCATGACTTATAGAACTCGGTTATCAGCTTTACGCTTTCACATGAATGACTAGAACACCAAGCAAAACTGCTCCATGTCCTTTAGATAACACTGAAAGACTAACTGATATACAGTATTGATACGCCCTAAAAGACAAATTTTATAATGTCGTGTGTTCACCACATGTTGTCATCTGCTTTTCAAATCAATGTGGGCTGAAAAGAATAAACTTTGTGAATAAACTAAAATAGTCTAATTTTTAGTCTGAGTATCATCCGTAGCTGAAAGTAAAGCAATAAGGAAGTTGACTGACAGTTTTCCCAATAAACGTCTTTTTCTTATCTTGTGGAGCTCTTGTGTGGAAAACGATAATGACTTTTTCATATATCTCTCATTATTTCTTACCGTTGAATAAATCTTCCTCTGGGTTTACTCTCATAATGCAAGAAAATAATTATATTTTATGTAGCACACAATGATGCAGTGTTATGTATCGAGAGTTGGAATTTTGAGTGCAGTGTAATGGTCACAGTCATATCAGGTTACTCACATACCCATCAAGCAATGTTTAATTGGAAATGCTTTCCACATTTGGGGAATAAATATCCAACCTTCCCCTTAGCACATTTCAGACAGCGATCCTGTGAACAAAGATTCAGTCGTGGTCCTCGACATTACTTTCACAATACTTGCATTGTCATGCATTGTGTCTGTATCCTGCCGCATACAAGATAATAGTTGAGATTTATTCTGGAGGGACATGATGGTTGTAGGTGTATTGGGGATTCTATACAGGATTTCAGACATCTCTGTTTCAAATAAACACACTGTGACCAACACATCTGTCATCACTCTGAGTTTCTGCCAAGTCTTTACTAATTTGGGAATTCATCTTGGTGGCCTAGTCTCTTTCAGATTCCTTATCTTGACTGTCTGTACAATTCTTGATTTAGCCGAATGCTTGTGCTCTGATGGCCTGATCGATCCATGTACAAATTCCCAGTCATCGCAGTGTATCAGAACAAACTGGATTATTTTGTCCACACAGATCAACGGAGACACTGAGTCTGGAGAGTCTGTCTCTGAAAGCGTTTGTCAGTATACGATACACCCGTATTCCTGGATCCTTGTGAATTCCATGAAAGACTTCAATGCTTCTACCTCACAGAATAAAATGGTTTGATGTCTTGAAGCCCGCCTTTTCATAAACGATCTCTTTCTCACCAACTATTCCCTTCTTTTCGAAAGGTCTCTTGAACTCTTCACTGCACTGTATATCTAAGGTATTGAGCAAATCTGTTTCCCAGTGAGCGATGTAAGTGTCAAACTGGGAAGAGGCAATGCACAAAGAGAATTCATCATGAGTTCAGTGGCAATGGAGAACTCATCACAGACTCTCACGCCTTCAGTGATTTGGTGATTGGAGACGGCGTGCACCAACACAGTGATATACACAAGTCGACATGGATTCCACCTCACAGACACACCAGGAATCAGGTAGACTTATTCTCATTGAGAAACACGAAAGTGAAGATGCCAT